GAGGCACAGAGAGGGTACGAGACTTGATTAAATTCAGACAGCTGGGAAGAGGTGGCATTGGGCCTTAAACCTCTGTCTGCCACAAAGCCCTCCAATCCCACTAGGTTTTTCCACTGCAGGGATGACAGACCAGGGGCCTTTCTCTGCCTCTTCTATGCAAATGGGCAGATGGGCACTTGCTCTACTGATGAAGCTGTATATGCTTCTGATGTGGTGGGAGATGTGGGCATGTTGGCAGCCGCCCTTGGACTGAGCTTTGCCACTTTCGGGCTGTGTGGTCTTGGGCAAATCACTCAGACTCTCCGAGGCTCCGTCTCATCACCTGTCAAAGGCAGATAATAAATCCTTCCTCTTGCAGGCATTGAGAGGATTAAGCTGGATTAGGTATGTGAAAGTTCTTTGTAACTGGTAATGCCCTCTGCAAATATTAGTTATTATGCTGTTACATTTTCCCTTAATAACCGAGAGCTTGGGATATGAAAGCCTTCTATGTCCTTTATTAAGACATCTCCTAGGAGCTAAGCTATTTTATGTCTTTTTGTTCTTGTATGTTGTAGTGGGTTTTGCACTGAAATGTATTTAAAGCAGTTTTAAATGACAAACAAACCTAACCTGAGGTTTTTGTTGATGTTCTAAATATCCCTGGAAACTGATGGTGGCAGTGACATACCTAATTATGGAACACTTATGGATCCAGGGCTCTCTCCCAAGTTCAAGAATTCGCATAATGCTCACCAAAGCCCAGGAAGTTGGCATGATCATCACCCTCATATTACAGAGGAGGAAATGGAGGCACAGACAGGTATGTAACCTGCATTAGGCCACAAAGTAGTGAGTCCCAGAGGTAAGCTTCAAATGCCAGCTTCAGAACACACACATCTAACACTATGCTGTTTGGCATCTCATCATGTTGTGTTTCCAGTTTTGCCTTAGAGGTCATGACATGACCCTCAGTATCTCCATAAACAGATCGCTGAGGTTCTGAATCCCTCAGTATCAGAATCTGGCCTAACATTTAAGAAAGATAACTCAGAGAGGAAACACTGTATAGAAAAACCTGGTTTTATGAAAACATTCAATAAACAGGAAATCTCAGAGACCAAACGTGTACTATTGGTATGTTGCTGTTAGGTTTTAGGTGGGCATTCCAGGTTTAAAACTAATCTAGAGATGAGAAGACTGAGGTTGAGGCAGAATATAGGGAGACAAATTTTTTTTTAGTGTTGCTCTTTATTTATTCCTGCTTCTGCCACATACTGAGCGGGTCTTTTTAAACCTCTCGAGCCTTGGTTTTCTCATCAACCTGTACATAGGCTTCTCAGGTTTACCCCACCAATGATTGCAGAGCTTTCTGCTGCCATCCTTTGCAAAGTTTCCCTGGAGTTTCTGGCTGTCCCCGGGGATTGTCAGCAACACCAATCCCAAATGAATACTAACAGCCCCTACCTGATATTAGCTATTTTCCTCCTCTTCTATTTCACTTTTCTCTTGCAGTGCTGCCCACGAAGCTGGCTGGAGGTGCCTCCCCTTAACTGCGGTATGGGTTGCCCCTATCTTTGGGGTTGCTGCGTCCCACATCTCATGATGCCACCATCATGTGACACAAATTCACTAAGGTTTCTCACCAGTGTGGGAAGATTCTGCCCTTCCCACATCCTTTTCATTAGTTCAGTAATTCATGCAATGAGTATTTATTAATGGCCTACTTGTGCCAGGTTCTGTACTTGGTACTTAGGATACATTATTAGTGCAGTAGATAGACACTGTCCCTGCCTTCATGGATGTTACAATTTGCGAAGGAATAAGAGACAATAAAAGAGTAAATTATACATGATACAATATCTGCAAAGTCTGGAAACATTGGTGAATAGACATGTTATTAAGGACATCTTCAATCTCTAAAACAAAACATTGTCTGTGTTTCCAGACTTCATGAACACTCTTTGCACTGTGATGAGTGTTTTGGTGCAGGAAATACAGGGTAAAATGGGAACAGAGGAAATGGACAGCTAACTAGCCTAATGGGATCAGGGGAGGCTGCCTGAGAGAACAGACATGGTGAGACCTGGAGGATGCAGTAGGAATCAGCTTCAACAGGAGGGCAAGTGTCGGGTTGCTATGTGCAAGATCCTATGGTCACGGTGTTTCTTCATCAAGAAGCTGATCATGAAAGTCCCAAGGGAGACTGGGTGGGTGCCTCCGAAGGCTTCCTGCATTGGGTTTATTCTTTCAAAGACTTTTTATAAGTGCATGGGAGCAAGTCAGAGTCCTCTTCTTTAAGACCAAGATGGCTTTTCCCTGCCTGGATTTTTCTGCCAGCAGGTGCTCTTTCTCCTGGCCTCTGCATCCTACCTTGATTTCCATACTCACTTAGTTATAAGAATCGAGTTTGCATTTAAAGCTTTCTCTACCTGTCATCTGATTGTATTAATATCTAACCCCATCAAATTCAGATAAAGATTAAATAAGATAATGTGGCTTCGAAGACTCCATAAACTGCAAAGCAGTCTATAATTGGCAGCTATTATTTATTATTACTATTGTTACACTAATTATAATAATTATTATTCCCACAGAAGTTATGTTATTAGTCCCAGATCACATGGGGAGCCTCCTACCTCGACAAATGCACGGAGGGGCTCACAGCACGTCAATGATTCACGCTTTTGGATGCAAAAATCTCTCACATCCAGCTACCTTGTGCTGTGTTCAAGCTTCCAGGATCACAGCCAGATGATACTGCCTGTATGCTGCCCCACGGATACCACAGCTCCTTCACAGGTACACCGGTGCAAGCTGCTGTTGCCAAGATTTTCCAAAAGCACAGTTTGCATTTATTTTGTTTAATCCTTACATTATATTTCAGGCTCCTCCTAAATGCATTTGTTAGCAAAAAGAGCCACGAGGGGAAGTTCAGCCCACAAATAAGAATATAATTATTACACAGTTTAGCAGCGCCTGGGCGTCACCCGGGTATTCACCGGTGCTTCGCAATTCAATTGTCTCTCCTTTAAGACCATATTTAATAGGATAAACAATTCCTGCTAAATGCAATAAAAGTGAACCTGAGCTGTCATCTCCATAATCAACTCAAATTTCCCATTAGAAGCAGTGGCTGTGATTGAGATTCAGAATTTAATTTGGTGGTGCTTGCTTCAATGTGTTAGTGTCGGCTTCATGGGAGCCTCCCATCAACCAAAGACAGAAGCACTCTTCCCTGTCTCTGGGGAATCTTAAAAGAAGATAGATTATAACTCAAGAAAATTATACAGCCTCGGTATAATGAAAGAGATAAAACATTATTGGATTAGCCTGTTGAAATAACAGCAGACGGCAAAGCAATAATATTAAGCCAAACAAGGGCCCAGACCCATCAGCTCAATGGCAGGGGACACATGGATGCAGGAAGGCAGACAAAATCACCACGCCTGCTCCAACAACCCCTGAGTAGTAAAAAAGCAGCCCCTTCTGATGTTTGTTCTATTGACTCAGTTCCAAATAGCTGGTTGGGCCAGATTGGGGGGTGGCAGTAATCAGAGCTTTGGTGTCACGGATGTATTAGGGTCTCATGCCCCAGCACCAGACACAGAGGCAAACTCAAGGTAGATGATTTGGCTGACAACAAATTGATTAACAATGAATAGGATGAACCAATTCATTTTTAACCAACTGCTTATTTTTTCCCCACCAATTTCATTTCAACAAATTTCACTTCAGTCAGACAGGAAGTGCCCGAGAGCAAAGAAAATCTTAAGGGGTGTTTTAATATGATGGAATGAATGAGAAAAATAAAGCTAAAATGCTCATGTGATAATCTAAAAAGTAAAAATATTTTGGATTTTGGTAACCTAGGGATCAACTGTTTTCTTCTTCTCCCCTTCAAGTGCCCCCTTCTGCAAAATGGTATTTGCACAAAAGCATAAGTGAGCAAAGTAGAATGTACAGACAATTGTATGGGGAAAGGGAGGGAGAGGGTCTGCATTGCAGACGACCCCACAGCCATCAACTTGACATTCTCCTTGACATGTTTCTCTTCTAGCCACCACAACCTTCTCCTCTTTTCTTTTTAAAGTTTTTCTCATGCAGTGATCAGTTTCTCTGGCTCTTGTCTCCAGCTCAGGATCTTCCCTGGACACCCACACATGTCACTCCTTCATTAAGCACAATTCAGCTCTGCCCCAGAACTCCTGCTCCCAACGTGCACAGCCTCACCCTGCCTATGCTCAGCATCAAAGCGAGCTGACTGAGAAGGCAGTGGGTGGATATTTGTCAATAACACACACACACACACATAAGCAGAATGCTTTGTGCTGTGTTGTACTTCCTGAAAAATTCTTTATTACTGGGAGGTAATAGAGCATCACTTAGAAGTTTAAAAATCTCAGCTCTGCCATTTTCTGACTTTGTAACCTTGGGCAAATTGCTCAACTGTTCTCAGTTCCTCTAACTGTTAAATAGGGGTAATAATAGCACCTATCTTATAGGATTGTCATGAAGAAGGAATGAATTAATACATTGAATCCGTGGCTGGCACACTGTGATCACCCAATAGACATTAACTGCCATTATTATTGAACAAGACTGTGTATTTGTCAAGGGAAGAACGACTTCATATCTACTCATGGATTCATTCTTAGGCACCTACTATGTGCCAGTCACTGCTAGATAGTGGGATGACACTGTGAGCAACTCCCAACATAGTTCTCGGCTGGTGGTAGATATGAGTGAAATAAAATTGCAGATTGAGCAAAGTAAGGATTACGAAGATGCTTAAGCTATATGGAGTTTATAATTTTTGTTTAACTCACTATTTATTTAAATCAGCATGCATCTTACAAACGAACATTTTTATTTTAAACAGCCTAACTGGCATTGCCTGCTGTCCTCAGGCAGGCCCCAGGTGGGAGCTGGTGTGGAAGCTGGCCGGGGGTTCTTGAGGGTTTGGAACTCTCGCTGTAAGCAGCCCACAGCTGTATCACCTGCAAGAAGCTCTCCCTTCCCTAACAGTTAAGTGTTTCTGAAGCTGTGCCTGGGCAGAGGCTGCCCCCATTTTGAGGAGGTGGATTGTCATACTGCCTTTTTCTCTTGTTTTATATCTTCCAGAGCATGAAGACCAGTTTGACCAGCAATTCCCCTTCCCATCAGTGGGGACATCTGTAAGAAAGAAGGTCAACAAATATTAATTAGTCCTTGTTATATTCTGGTGCACTATGGGGTGGGATGGGGTGGGATGTATAAGCTAAAAGTCTTTGAGAGTCTGAATCTTTGATCTCCCCCCTCCAATCAACTGTCCTTCTCTTTGGCCACTGTACTTGCCGTGCTCCCTCCTACCACAGGGCCTTTGCTCATGCTGTTCTCCTTGCCCAGAACACTCTTCCCTCCTCTATTTACCTGGTCAAACCTACTCACCCTTCAGATCTCAGTAAAAGTAAAATCAGTAAAAAGAGAGACCTTCCCTAGCCCCTAATTACATAAAATACAACGTGCTAAGAGGTATAAATAGATACAAGGGTACTTCAAAAAGCTCGTGGAATAATGAATAAAAAGATAATACAAATCTTCCCATGAACTTTTTGAAGATCCCTTCTATATGTTTAAAGTCCTGCAGGAGCACACAGGAGTAATTAAGTAATTCTTTTATTTTTTTTTCCTTTTTGTCTTTTTTCGTGTCCTGCAACGGATCGCAACCCTCAGTGTCACGCCCGTACCGGACCAGGACTGGCAATGGGATCGCAACCCTCAGTGCTGCGCCTGCACCTCACTCAGCCAGTGAGCGGGAACTGGTCTGTATGTGGGATCCGAACCCTCGGTGGGAGCGCCGCCGCGCTCCCAAGCGGTGCACTGTAGCAGTGCGCCACTGGGCCGGCCCCTAATTAAGTAATTCTACTTGGGGGATTAGAGGAACTTTTACAGAGGAGGGAGCATCTGTGCTGGATTTTAAAGGATAAATAGGAGTTCACTAAATACAAAAAGAGGGTAAGCATTCCAGAATGATCAAAAAAAGACTTGCAAATGCCATGCATTGGTAGTCCTATAACACAAAGCATTCTCAGTTGTGAAGATAATGAAATATGAAATCAGGAGCCAGGAGGGTTCTCAGGTTTTACAGTGTTCAGCCCCTACTCCACACCTCTAACTTGCTCTCGTTCTTTTAAATTATATTCTGGCCTTTCACAGAGTTCTCTTTTCCAACTAACTCTCAGAGACTTCTTACTTTTCTGGTAGGTGACCTCACAGGCTGGGACTTGGAATCCAACAGGACAGATGCAGTCCCAGCGTTGATTCTGAGAAGACAACGCAGAGAAAGTGTGAATCGTACCCTGTGCAGCAAAGAACTCCCAGTGCTCAGCCCTGTGCCTCACTGCACTGCCATTGGGTCAAGCCAGGGCATAGATTTAGCTGAATGGTTTATAGTAAGCAGCTTCAGTGCCAAGAATACCTACTTTCTTGAGAGTCCTTTTTTCATGGAAGGGTGTGTATTGCCATACTGGGGAATTACACAGAGTTGCTGAGGACAAACTCATTAACTGACATTTGACCCATTCTTACGAGCTTTCAGGGTCAGAAGTTGCCTTAGTTATCACTGTGGCCAATCGTCATTGATGCTCAACTTCATCACTAGTAATCGTCTAGCCTCTGCTTGAATACTTCTAGGGATGGGGAACTCACTACTCCTAGACGTCTCTTCCTACCTTTGGCCAGTTCTGACACTTTGGAAGTGATTCCTCATGTTAATTTGCAATCAGTCACCTAGAGCTTCTCTCATCTGGGTCATGCAGAATCTCTACAGGACTATCCTTCATAGGTCAGGCCCCTCACGTCCACTCTACAGCTTCAGGCCCAAATTTCATATGAGGCAAAAAGGATTTCAGTAACCCTAGATCAAAACCTGGAGCTGATGGGCTGATCCCACTTTCTATGCAACTGACCCTCACATAGGGGTCCTTGTGCTGATGGCAGAACTTCCAGGACTTACACTCTCCCTTAGGTCTGCTTTGCTCAGATCCAGCCTGTCTGAGAAACTGGAAACATATTTCTCAATCCCAACCTGCAACTGGAATCTTTCTCCCTGTGAATATGTCTTCTTTTGCATCCCCTCTGCTGAGCTCGCTCCATCCACATGGGCCCTGCCCCGACTTCAGCTGGCTCCTTGACATGGGACTTGCTGTAACCAGTTGCTCCTGATGCCCTATGTTTGGGTACTAGACCAGACTCTTCCTCAGAGTCTTGCTAGCCCATCACAACAGGAGCATGAGATTCTAGGCCCTGCCACTCCCAGTTTGCCCTGCCCACAGCAGTAACCCCAGACATGACCTTGACATTAGCAATCAAGTTCTAATGGCCTTTTCTTGCTGCTGCCCACCCCCAAACCTTCTCACCACGTGTTGGTCAGGACATGAACAAAGGTTTTCTCCTGCTCAGCCCAGTCTCAGTCTGCTCCTGTCTTCAATTCAGTACTGCTGTCCCTCACTGTGCCCCTTGGGGCTGGAACCTAGGTGTTCTGACAGCCAGAGCTGCCTATATTCTGACTTCTTGGGAAATTCAAGTGGGCAAATGGCCGGCCCCAAAGCCAGCCCCCTTCAGATAATGGCTTCTATGAGGGACACCAGCCGCCTGGAAATGCTACCTTACAGGACGGGGACCCCATTCCCTTGGCAGGGAGCACAGTGGCAGGAGCTCACTTCCTTCTGGAACTCCTCCAGGGTCTGCTTCATGTCCACTCACTGTGCTGGAGTAGGCAAAATCTGTGGCTGTCACCAGTTCATACAGAGGCTCCACCTGGGAAGAGAGGAAAAGCATTTATTTTGAGAGGAAACAGACATGGAACAGAAGTGGAGAGCAAGGTGACACAGGAAGGGGTGGGGGTCGGTGCATGCAGACGACAAGTGGATGGACGCTATAGCCACAGATGGATGCCCATCCTCTCCCTGCCTCCCCTGCCCGACATCCACAAATTCTCTCATTCACATTCAGATCAACAAACACTTGCTGAAAGCCTACTAAGTGCTAGGCATTAAGCATAAGTAACAAGTGAGATAAAATCCCTGCTCTCAAGGAGCTCAGAATCTAGAGATAGAGACAAGCACACCAATAGATGGTTACAACCCAGTGGTTACAGGCAACAGAGGAAACCTGAAGAAAGCAGCAGGTGAGAGGTGGGGAGGAGTGGATCATGAATCTCTCTTTGGTGGGGCAGAGAAGGTGATTTTCCAGCAGCTCTTTGGAAGTATTATGGGAATATTACTCCAACATTACCCTCCCCGTCCAAATCCATCAAAATCATTCACATCATGCAAGAGCCACCACGAGGAAGCCTTTCCAGAGCTCCAGAGCTCTCAGAACACCTCCCTCCATTAAACACCTAGGATACTGTGCATACTCATCTGATGCGAGTTCTGTGTTTTTGACTGCTCCTTTATGGTCACTGAATTTTTTTTTTTAAGTTGCAGAAGTCTCTCCTTTTTCTTCTCTAATTAGATGGTAAGCTCCTGGAGACCAGGTCTCTGTACAGCTCAGCTCTGTGTCTCTAGGGTCCAGTCCCAGCTTAGTAAGCAAAGTAGATGGATGGATGGATGGATGAAGAGGGGATGGAAAGTCTCAGTAGCAGCAGGCCTGGAGGAGAGGGCATGGCTATCAGAAATGTAGGAGCAGAAATAGCAGGTGCTGGTCACTCGCTAGATGTGGCAATGTTTGAGTGGGAGAAGTTACAGACGGATGTGGTAATGTTCGTGGGTTAGGAAAACCAGAAGCACAGTCCAAAGAAGTGGTTAAAAATGTTTGGCTCTTCTTGGCTCACATTTCAGCTCCAGGGCCAGGTTCCTCTCCGGGTTTTGTGTGTGATCCTGCCCTAATCCAACCCTGGAGAGTTTAGGGTCTGTCTAAATGCAGGCAATCACGCCTGAAAGAAGCCTCTGGTGGGAAGAAAATTGCTTCCAATTCTTAATGCATCTGATGCTGACCTTCACCCCAGTGGGCAGAGCCAGGCCCCTTGGTGGTCCCATTGTCTCACGTTTTGTGGTCAATGAATTGATCCAGAGGCTGTTTACAGAACCGTCCAGCCTGCTGGCCACACATGGGGAGGAGGGTTGGGAGGGAGGAAGGGGGAAGCTTGCTTTATGCCACTGAGGAGCTGCTCCAACAATCTGCTTTTGCTCCTGGAGCACCCTGAAGCACCTTTGGCCACCAAGGAATTTTCCTACCAGCGATGAGATTCGTTCCAGCAGAATGACCAAGTCAGTAGCCAAACTGGAATAAACCTTCCATATACCGTGTTCCTGGAGCTGTGTGGAGGTTTACAAATATGATCTCTCCTTGTCCTCACAAGGTAGCAATTATTAGCTCCATTTTCAGGTGAGGTTAAGTAACTTGATCAAGGTCACACAACTCATAAAATGGTATTGCCAGGATTCTAACTCAAGGTGTTTTTTCCTAATAGATTATAATGATTATTGATAAAAATGGTTGATTATTCCCATTTCCAACCTCTATCCCAGGGCTCTCCAAATTTTGCAAACTATGGTCAGCCTTGGAACTGAGCAGCAACTACTCAGGACTCCACCGATTCCCATTCAACTTAATATGGCACATTCGTCCGTTCTTTGGTTTGCTTTTCCTTTTTTCTTGTCTTTCTTTTCTCTTTTCTCCTCTTCTTCCTCCCTCCCTTTTTCCTTCCTTTCCTTGTCCTCTTTCTTCCCTGCTTCTCCCCCAAATACACAATCTTTTTTTTTTTTCCTTTTTGTTTTTTTTACTGACCAGTAACGGGATCGCAACCCTCGGTGTTGCACCCGCACCGCGCTCAGCCAGTGAGCAGGAACCGGTCTCCACGTGGGATCCGAACCCTCGGCGGGAGCGCCGCCGCACTCCCAAGCAGCGCACTATCCAGTGCGCCACCGGGCCGGCCCCCAAATACACAATCTTAACTGCTCACATCAATCATTGGGTCCTCAGCACACATGTCCTGGTGAGTGGGATCCGAACCCTCGGCCAGTAACGGGATCGCAACCCTCGGTGTTGCACCCGCACCGCGCTCAGCCAGTGAGCAGGAACCGGTCTCCACGTGGGATCCGAACCCTCGGCGGGAGCGCCGCCGCACTCCCAAGCAGCGCACTATCCAGTGCGCCACCGGGCCGGCCCCCAAATACACAATCTTAACTGCTCACATCAATCATTGGGTCCTCAGCACACATGTCCTGGTGAAAAATTGTGTTTATCATATTGTTGCAAAAAGACAGTGGACACTTTTTATTAAACTCAGTGTAATTCTCTATAGTGGACCTTGGTGCTCTTAATGATATCAAGTAATTATTACTCAAGCTAGCATTTATTAGGTGCTAAACTAAATACTTCCCATATATTATCTAACTTAATCTTCACAACAATCTTATGAGTTAGACTTAAGTGCAGTTTTATATTTCACTTTTTTTCACTTAACATCATAATATGAGCATTTTCCCATACGATTCAATAGTCTGGTGAAATGGTTTTTCATGGCTTCAGAGTATCCTGTTGTGTGGATGAACCACAACGGATTAACTCCTCTTCTGTCGTTGAGCTTTTAGGACATTTTCTTTTTTCTTTTCCCTTCCCTGTACTACAAACAACAAAACAAGACCTGTCTTTATATATATATATGTCTTTACCAACTTTTCAAATTATTTCTTTACTAGATTCTTGCATTTGGGGTAATTGAATCAAAAGCTATAAACAGTTTTAATATTTTGGATATATCTGCTTTCTTTTCTTATAGTTGTACCAAATTATATTCCCATCCCATTCAACAAAAGTGCCCAGCTCATCAGTCTCCATGCGATTGAGTACTATAGATTTTTAATCATTGTCAATTTGATAGATTAAAAAATAATACTGCATTGTTACTTTAATTTTCATTTTTTATTACAAGAGAGGTTAGAAACTTCCAGAAGGGTGTTCAATTCTTTTGAGAAGTTTCTTATAAATTGTATCATTCCTCACATATTAAGGATTTCATTTGTGGCAAAATCATTTTTTTGGTGTTTTATCTGCCTTTTAATTATATTCTTTGTGTGAAATGTAAAATTCATTTTGGAAAGGTGGGGGGTGAGATCTATCAGTCCAAATCCAATATTGTCTTACCAGACAAGTGCTACTGTATTTGTTTTTTAAACCTTCTCTTGGTTGGAGCAATTTGCTTTTAGAAAATCTCTGAGGGGCCGGCCCGGTGGCGCACTGCTACAGTGCGCTGCTTGGGAGCGCAGTGGCGCTCCGGCTGAGGGTTCGGATCCCACATACAGACCGGTTCCCGCTCACTGGCTGAGCGAGGTGCGGGCACAGCGCTGAGGGTTGCGATCCGTTGCCGGTCCCGGTCCGGTCCGGGCGCGACACTGAGGGTTGCAATCCATAGCCGGACACAAAAAAAGCAAAAAAAAAAAAAAAAAGAAAAAAAAAAAAGAAAATCTCTGAGTAATTTGCTTTTGGAAAGGTGTGATGGTCATTATTGCTGTTTACCAAACATCTCCACTTCTTTTCCTTCTGGACACACAGTAGGGCTGCAATTTCCACCTTCCTTAAAGGCAGGCTTGCAATGTGACTTGTTTTGACCAATGAAAGGTGAGCAGAAGAGAGTGCCACTTCCACATCGAAGCTTCCAGAGCAGAGGGAGGTGACTTGTCCCACTCCCTTATCACTGCCGTGGTGATCTGGATAGTACATGAGAAGATAAATCCCCCATTGTCTGGATCCTTGAGTGAGTACCTTGAGCAAAGCCTCCTCACCAACACACTTCAGACACGTGTGATTGAGAAATAAACTTTTGTTGTACTAAGCCACTGCAATTTGGGAGTTGTTATTCTACAGCATGATCTAGGCTATTCTGACCTCTGTGTGAGCACCATTCACTACCATATTTATTCCTTTCTACCCTGGGCAATGCCAATAATCCATGCAGTAGTTTCTCCATCAGCCTGGGTCCCAGCCTACAACCTGTCTACCCTGACTAGCACAAACATGTACGTGGATAATTGACTTTGTGACTAGGATTACTAGTTAAGTACAGAATACTCAGTTGCATTTAAATGTCAAATAAACAAGTAATTTTTTAGTGTAAGTATGTCCCATGCAATATTTGGGAGATGCGTATACTAAAAAATTCAACCTTATTTATTTGAAATTCAGATGTAACTGGACATCTTGTATTTTCATTTGCTATCTCTGGCAATCCTTTTGGTGACTCCTTTAATATCTCAAAATATCTTTGGAATTCTTCACCACTCATGACCACTTTCTGAAGCACAAGCTTTTTTCCTTCAAGACCTTGTGGTTATTGCTCCATTATCTCCAGTCATTTCATGTTGCAAGGACTTCTAAGACCAGTTTGACTTTCATTCCTGTAGGATGTATTTGTTCCTAAAAGTAAAACATTTCACCAGGGTGTGTTTCAGAATTGTTTTGTCTTCAGTATTTTTGCCTAATTTCCAATTCTGCATTATCAGCTCAGAGAAGTTTCTCTTACTATGTGCTTGATTTGATTAATGTGTCTTTACATTTAATCTTGTCTCTTTCTCAGGAAGAAGTTTCTGTGTTTTAGATTTCCACTTCTGTACTTTCCATTCATATTTCTTTTCTGTCATTGTTTTAATCTCTTTATCTTTCACTTCTGCATTATAAGAACATTTTTATAGCAACTTCCACATCACTGACTCAATTTTCTGCAGTGTCAATTCTGTTCTTTATAGATTCCAATGTAGGTTTTAATTCTGCTATTGTGCTTTGGTTTCCTATACTCAACTACCTCCCTTTTTATCTGATTAGTGTCTAAACATCTCAGCTTCTATTTTTATTTCATAAATTCCTTGCTTCCTTGAATTTTATTACAATCACAAAGCAAATGCATTCTAAAATCTACTTCTATTTTTCTATTTTTTAGACATATGCTCATTTTCTGCACCTTGAATACAATTTCAGTCTTTTGTGCACAAAAATCTATATTTCCATTGTTGTTTCTTAACTCTTCTTTGAAGAAAGAGCCACGTCTCTGCAAGTTTACCAGTGAGCAGCGTGAATAGGTTCTTCTGTGGTCTCCTTCCCTGCCTACCTGGCTTCTATAGACATCATGTTTCACACCTTGATCTTGAAGACTGGTTACCGTACTTAAGCCTTGGCAACACTCTTGCATCTAGGAATTGCTTATCTAGTAGGCTCTGCTGTCCTGAAAGCCAGTCACTGCTCCAGCTACCTGGTAAGCTGGCTCTGCAGAGAAGAATTATTCTGAGATAATGTGCAGCCATCCATAGTTTTCTCTAGCCAGAAAGTGTGCGCGTATGTTTCCAACTCAGGTTAGAGAGGTACAGAGTTGTGTAAAATCTTCAACATTCTCTCCCACTCCTGCAACAATTCTGAAAACATCTCTGATCTGTAACACATTTCACATCACATCACATACTTGACATTCCCAGTACTCAGGCAGGCACATTCAATCTTCTAAGTAGGGAATTACCTTGGCTCTCAGTTTTCTAAAACAATCAGGTAAGATAGCTCAGTAAAAAGTAAAGACAGGGGTCTGTTTTCCCCTGAACTCTCTTTTCTCTCCCACGCCCATCTGTGATGCCAACCAATGTAACCATGGATGGTATCACCCAAGCCCAGATCTCTCTGGAGATGCCTACAACATATGGTTGGCTTTTTGTGTGTGTGTGTGTGACCGGTAAGGGGATTGCAACCCTTGGCTTGGTGTTGTCCGCACCGCGCTCAGCCAGTGAGTGCACCGGCCATCCTTATATAGGATCTGAACCTGCGGCCTCGGCGCTCCCAGTGCCGCTGCGCTCCCAGTGCCACACTCTCCTGAGTGAGCCACAGGGCCGGCCCCAACATATGGTTGACTTTACCCATCTTGTGCTTACCAGCAACCATACACTAAGTGTCACTCCTGAGTAAGTTCAGAGGAGAAGATATGAATGGCAGCCTTCTTCTTCTGCAGAAACTGTGCATTTGACATGCAATTAGACACTAGAAAATTGCCAGGGTCAGCAACTGCAGAGTCTCTCGTCAGAGCTCCAGCGCCTCAATTCCCCTTCTTGATTGCATTGGGGAATCTCCAGGGGGTGGGCAATGGCCCATCAATGACTGTGCAGACCCTGGCGAGCAGAGGATGGTGTAAGACATGCTATGAGTACCGTGCAGAAGTCCCCACAGGCAGGGACCTACCATTGTCGATGTGTATAACAGTCCTGTTCTAACAAACATCTTTTTAGCTTAAGGTTGCAAAATTCCTCTTGTTTGGTGACAGGTGGTTAGGATTATTATTTTTTATCCACCAAATCTCCAGAAAAATCTGGAGGGGAGGGAAGAAGTCGAAGTCTCCTGTCTGAACCTAACAGAGACTCTTAAACAGCCACAGGTGGATATGGCCTCTCTGACCCTTGAACTTTATCAGTCGCAGAATGGAGATAAGCGTACTTGGTTTGCACATTGTAGTGAAGATTAGATGAAATAACATTTCTAAAGCCCCTGGCAAAGGGTCCCAAATACCATAGGTGCTCAAAACATGTTAGCTATTGTCCAGGTGTCTTATCCTGTCCTGTAAGATAGTTATGCCTGTGTGTATCTTCCTGTTCACCCTAGGCTGTATTTTTCATCTTTACATCTTCTTTGTTTTTCTCCAGTATATTACTTCCTGAAACACAGCAGAAACTTGGCAGCTATTTGTTGGTTGAGTGAATAAGTGTTTAAATAAACAAATAACTGAATGAGTGGTTCTCTGATGAAATGGAAAGAATATTAATTTAAGAAGGCTAGAAATAGAAGCTCATCTTTAATTTCCTTCAGCAACTTGGGAGCCCAAGTGAGAGTTGGGGGTCTCTAGGTGGTACTAAGCAGTGTGTTCATGTCTGTACATCCCAAATGTTTCTGTGATGTCTGAGCCTCAAGATTAGGGCCTGGGTGTTACTGGTCTCTGCATTCCATACTGTGGCTCATCGGAGGCCCTCAGAAGCTGGTGTCTGAGCAGAGGAGGGGATGGGTACAGCAGCTGTGTGTACCTTCACTTTGATGACATCCGGGTGGTAGTGCACTGCGTCTCCCCACTCCTGCATCGGTTCTGCCGTCGGCAGCTCCTTGTACGCCAGGGTGGTGATGTGCTCACTCGCCCCTCCTCCTACAAGGACCACAAAGAACTGGCATTGAAGGATCCACTTTTACAGCTTGGAATTTACTCCAACCCAACCAACAATTTGGTTACCATAATATTCACTGAGCCTGCCTGGGAGCCTGGGAGATGTGGATGGACAAGCCACATCCCTGCCCACAGAGGAGTCACAGTACATGGGGCAAAAGAGAAGCTCACCCAATCACAAGCTGGGGGCAGGACAAGGGAGGGTATTTATCTCAAGCATCTATAAGGCCCGTTACTGAGTTAGTCCGTGGAAGATAGATGATAGAGATAGACAGGTAGATAATAGACAGGCAAATATGTAGGTAGGTAGATAGTACATAGGTAAATAGTAGGTAGGTAGAAAAGTAGGTAGGTAGATAATAGATAAATAGGTAAATAGATAGATGATAGATAAGTATATAAATAGGTAGACAGGTAGATGATAGATCGATAAATAGGTATGTAGGTAGGTAGCTAGGTAGACAGATGATAGATCAGTAAATAGGTAGGTAAATAGATAAGTAGGTAGATGACAGATTGGTGAATTAGTAGGTAGGTAAATAAATGGGTATATAGATGGACAGATAGGTAGATAGATAGATAGGCAGGCTATAATATTTTGTTTTACCCGACAGCAATTTTATGAGCCAGACACTATTAGCCAGACTCTACTTCACAAATGAGAAAACTCATACCTTGAATTAGATCCCTTGCCCAGGCCTGTACAGCTTACAAGCTGATAGAGCCAAACTTTAAACAAGGTTTGCCTGGTTTCACAGTCACCACTCCTGTGTCAAATACCTTTCTCTCACCAAACTGGTTCCTACAGGTGGAGGGTGGTGGATTTCATCGTGTGATGGGAACTGAGTTCATCCTTTCACTTCTGTCACCTGCACACCTTGGCTAGGATCTCAGCTCTGACCTTGTCTAGCCTTGTGGTCTCAGATAAATCATTTACACAGTATGAGATTTCTATTCTCTCATCAGAAAAGTGGATCCTCTGCATCCATATAAAGAATAAATGGTACGATAGCAGCTAATAGTCATTGATCACTTATGAGTCAGTCACTAATCTAAGTGTTGTACGTGGATGAACTCATTTGATCTTCAGTATAAAATAGGAACTGTATAATCCTCACTTTGCAGATAAGACATCTGAGAGAGGTGAAGCTACTTTCTCAGGTGGCCCTGCCCAGGTCCAAAGCTTTGTGTGAGAAGAAAAGGTGGGAAAATGCATGAAGATTGGGCTCAACATGTAATAGACACATAGTAAACAGTGGCTACTATAGAGCAATTATGCTCTCATGGAGTTGACTGCTCAAGGAACTGCCCACAAAGCCCTCAGCTGTATCAGTGGGTCGTGCCCATTCTCATTTGTCTATGTTTCCAATGCCAAAGAACTCGTGTAAAGTGGCTCCTCAGCTCTAAGCCTGCAACACCTGAGCATCATAAAAAAAGGGAGTCTCACATACTGCTGGTAGGACTATAAATTGGTACAACCATTTTAGAAAACAGCCAGATGTTATCTAGTCAAGTAGGAAAAGTCCAGCCTCTACCACCCAGCAATTCCACTCTTAGGTGTATTCCCTGGAGAAACACTTGTAAATGTGCACCAGACGACTGTAAGATGTTTATAGCAGCATCGATTATAATTGCTTGAAACAGGAAATAACCCAAATGTCCCTCAGTAGTAGAAAGGACAAAAAAAAAAAAAAGTGGTGTATTCATACAATAAAATACTATGCAACAATGAAAGTGAACTAACTATAGTTATACACAAGAATGTGATGTTGAATAAAAGATACATGACAGGGAAGATTACATTCCATCCATATAAAGTTCAAAAAAGAGCAACACTAAGCTATACCAGGTAGTGATATATATAGATGGTAAAACTATAAAGAAAGGAGGGGTATATTTAGCATAGAAGTTGGGACAGTGGTTATCTCAAAAAAGGAGGGAGACGTGATCAGCACAGGTTTCTGGGGTGCTGGGCAATGTTCTATTTGGTGACTCGGATGGGGGTTACTTTACAAGTCTTGCTTGAAGAGTGCCTATTTTTTTTTAATGACTCCCTTTGTAGGATGCATCTTTCAACCCAGCCCCACCAAAATGAACAAACAAACAACAATATCAGCAGGTTAGTCCCAAGTGCAAAAGGTTGTTCTAGACTAGCAGTTAATTCTTGTTGTTTTACTTGGTTTGGTTTCAGCTGTGGAATTCCTTCTTCACCTGTAGTTCCAGCCACAAGCCCAGTAAGTAGAGCAGATAAAGGCAGAGTGGCTTGGGGTGCAAAGGGGTAGGGACTGGGGCCCTGCTGGTCAGCCTCTTTCACACTCTACTTGCTGTGTTGATTCCCAACTCCCTTGAATTGCTTCCAAGTTCCCTGCTCCCAGACACCTGGCTCTTTATTACCCACCTCAGGTCTGATCTTTCCTGCCATTTCAACTCTACTACATGATTTGTGGCTGTGCTTGCTCTTCTGGCCTCCATATCTCCTATTATCTGTGTAAAGACCAGCCTTCTCCACTTGCCTCTCACTCCAGCATCCTGCCTCTAGCCAGGCCAACTCCAACCCCCAGAGCAAATTTGTTAGATTATTTTTTCTCCTCCCTAAAAAAGTCCTCGATACTGTACTTCTCAAATTGCAGTTCACATATTCCCTCCCCTAGGAAGCCTGCCCTGATGCTCCAGACTGGATATACTCTTGCCATTGCTTCTTTAATTGTTTGCCTGCCTCATGTGAGTGCCATGAGGATAGGAATGCAGTCTTATTCAGTTTTTCATATTCAGCATATGTAGGAGCTTGGAAAAATTTTATTGGATGAATTGTAATTATAATTGAAATGCCATGGAATATCCAGTCTTTAGCTTAAAGAAAGGCTGGGACCAGGAAGTACTAGGGAGGGACAGATTATAAGTACAGAAGTTGCATGCCCCTGCCACTCACTTTTTATTTTTTTCAGAATACCCCTGCAAGTTGTTCACCAACATAGCAGCACCAATTTTAAAATCATTTTTGGCACAGGCATGGATGTTGTTAAGAGAATAATCTGAAGGAAGCAAGGACAGAGGTCCATGACCTAAAGGGTAGTTCGCTCTGTCCCTTTTCCTGTGATTGATTCCAGAGGACTCAGGTTCAAATAAACGGGTTGCCAGCCTGATGACAAGAAATGCCACTGGCACCAGGGTAGAGACCTCACAGAGAGCAGACTCAACTCCCCATTTTGGCCCCTTCTCAAGACACTCTGAGGATTTTGCTGCCCTCCAAAGAAGGGAAGTGCTCTGAGTTATTTTCTAAAAATTTGACTCCTTACCAAGTCTCTAGGGATAGACCTAGTATATCCAGAGGCTGCTGCAAACTGCCCTCTTTTCCCTGACCCATCCTCCTCCAATCTTTGATAAAGTAGGAAAAGCTTGGTAGTTAATTAATTGAGGTAATACATATGAAATGTCTGGTATAGTACCTGACAAAGAGGAGGGGCCGATTTCCCTTATTTCTTCTTCATTTTTGAACTATATCCCACTTCATTCCTCCCTGATTCTCCCCAAGGCATCCTCCTCCCCTGGTCTTGTTGAAATCTCACATATGACTTGCAAGCACCTTTCTGTGGCACTTTGAGGCCAGTGCAGGGAGAGGAGCAATTTTGACTACTAGGATTGTCTAGCAATGTTGGTATAGATCAGGTTTTCCCAAAGTACATTCCTTGAAACATGAATCCCATGAGATAGTAGCAGGTGTTACAAGAAAAAGAGCTTCTGTGGTCAAGTAAATGTGACAAATGTTGCATCAAAAGAGGCGGAGGTGTCATTTGATTGGAGTACATTCATGAAACTATGTGATCGCAGAGCACTTTTGTAGGAAGCAGTTTGAGAGCCTATGAAAAGCACTTTGAAACCACAATTATGGAGGGAGGTACCCTGATCTTGGCAAGCCGGAGGCCACGCTGATATAAATTTACACTATATACCATGTGTACTCTTGCAAGTACATTAGACTTATATCTAAGCCCTGGCTCTGCCACTGTAATCTGTATGACCTAGAGCAGTTCACTTAACCCAACAAGTGCCTTGTTGTAGGAAAGAATACTGAATTGGAAAGAAGGACTCACACCTTACACTTATAGTTGACTATGACTGGAAAGACCTGGGATGTCTGTATGAAGGATGAATTATAAGGGGAGAAATGGGGGTTGAATATTAGTTTGGAGGCTATGGTAGTAATTGGAAACCTTGTCGTCTATGGACCAGCAGCATTGACATCACCTCAAAATGTTAGAAATCCAGAACGTTGGGTCTCACTCCAAACCTACTAAATTAGAATATACGTCTCCCAAGATTCATACATAATTCACACTCACGTTATATTTTGAATGTGAAGCACTGTTGTGAAGTGAGCCTATCGTGGTAACAATAGCAGTAGAAAATATAATTTAAAGGTAGAGCTGATGGGACTTGCTAATAGATTGGAAGGAAAGAAAAATAATCGAGGTTGACTCCTAGGTTTTTGGCTTGAGCCACTGGCTGGATAGTAGAACAATTTTTGAGATATGAATAAATATGGAAGAAACTATTTGGAAAAAAACCCAAAAGTTCTCTTTGGGGGTATGTTAAGTTTGTGATGGTTGTTAGACATTCAAGTGAAGGTATCAAGGAGGCATTTCTGCATAAGCTATTGAGTGCAGGGAAGAGATTCAGGATGGATATATAAATTAGGAGTTATCTGCATGTTAAAGCATTTGAAGCCGTGAGATTGAATGTGATTCTCAAGAGAGAGTAGTTGTTAGAAGGGAGGATGGCCCAGACAGAGGGCTAGGTGGGGAGGGCTGGCATTAGCATGTCAGAAAGAGGAGGAGGAACTGCAAATGAGACCTGGAAGGTGTAGCCAGGTAGGCAGAAGGAAAACTAAACACAACTTACGAGTCTTTTCCCAGCAACCAATATAAGCTTCTCCCCATTAACTCATCGTTCACGTGTGCCCTGTTGGGACAGCCATGGTCCCCTGGGCAGTGTACCTGCTCTCTGCATGGCCTCTTTGTTCATAATGAGTGTGTAGTCATAAATGCCCCTGAGCACAGCCTCTGGGATGTAGTGGGTCCCGAAATCGCTAAAGAGATCTCTGTACTCCCCGTAGCTGTACTCCAGGGGTAGCCACTTGACTCTCTGAAGGAATTCGTAATGGAGCATGAGGCTTCTGGGTTTCAGCTTGCAATGTGCTACTTCAAGGTCAGAGCGCATGTGCAGATATGTGCTTTTCTAAATGAAATACCAACATGGGAAAACCAGACCTTTAAAGTTAGGAATCTGGAACAAGAAGATGAACTTTAACAAATACCATCCGATGTTCTTGGTCCAGGGTCATCGCGCTTATGATTCCTTTAGGATACTTGAGGGAAGACGGCCTCTTTGACAGGCTTTCGGTTCTCATAAATATTCCAATATCCTTTTCAGCTTGGAAGAGCTTGCTCTTAACTTACCTCCTTACTGTAGCAAATAAGGACTGTGAAGGGTGACCAGGAGCAGGCATGACGGGAAGCAGTGGGAGCTCCCGGGGCCTCTCTGATGGGGTACAGGCTTTGCTAAGGCAACCTCTTTGCTTATGCCTTTCCAAGTCTGTGAAGAAAAGCCACTGAGGAAAGAGTAAGGTGCACTTGGAAAGCTAGATATGGTCCTATGTGGCAGGAATCAACAAACTACAGCCTGTTTTTGTAAATAAAGTTTTATTGGAACACAGCCATGTCCATTTGCTCACATATTGTCTGCAGCTGCTGCCATACTACAATGGCAGAACTGAATAGTTTCAAGAGACCTTATAGTCTGGCAAAGCCTAAAGTATTTACTATCTGGCCCTGCACAGAACAAGTTTGGAGACCACCTGATATATGGGATAGACTGACAGTTGGCAATGCCAGATGAAGTATAAGCTTCCAGGAGGTAGTACTGTCACCTGAGGTGAGAGCTCCCTGTACCAGGGTGCAGGCGGAGGAAGAGGGGAAGGGTGTCCCCACCTTTAGCCCTAGGAAGCCTTGCCCACTTTGCTCGTGCCTGCCTACCAGGCCCTCGCTTTGTTTCCTGGCTTGCTCTCATGCCGTTCTAGTCCTAGCCCAGTGACCCATGACAACCTGCCTTCTCCCTTACCTCTCCTGTCCTTCATCATTACGGTGGCCCTGTCCTTCATCACTATAGTCTTAAGGGGCTGCTGAGTGCCATTCTGAGTCTAGAGATGAAAGAAACAGCTTCTTCCTCCAAAGAGTTCACAGACTAAAAGATGAGTAAAGATAAGCACAGACAATTAAAGTCTAATTAATGTTTACTACCCATTTTCTCCTAGTTAATATTTCAGCAGCAGAGACCCTTCTGAGTCTCTCACATTTCTTTTTTCTTGTATGAATCATTGTAGACTTTCCGTCTTGATCTCCTCCAGATCCCCTCTGATTAATTTTCTATCACATCATGCTCGTTGAAAACTCTTGGTGGCTAGAGAATGAATTGCACCTTCCTCACCCTAGAATTCAAGGTTCCTCAGATCTGCCTGTCACCTGCTCCTCCAACATCATATCCCATTGCTTCCCGCTCCAATTACTCCTCATTCACCCAATCACAGGCCCTGACCTTTAACTTCTGGGCAATAGGGAGCAGATGATATGATTAGATTAGTATCGTAGGAACATTTCTCTGGCAGCGCATGCATTTGAAAGGGCAAGGTAAGAGACAGGGAGACCATTTATTAGGGCAGAACAAGAGATGACAGGGCCTGGACTAATTAAGATGTAATGAGAGTTAGAATAAAGAAAAATTGGAGAGTAATAGTGAAGAATTTGGTGACCAATGGATGTGGAAATGAAGCAGAAATGACAGCCAAATATGATTCTGTAGTTCTTAGCCTGGAGTAGCAGAAGGGAAGAAATGCCATTCACATAGATGGAAAATTTAGAAGGAGGAAATTGCTTTGGAGTGTCAGCAAGGCATCCACATGAAGATACTTAGAAGAGTGGAAAGGGCAGGTCTGGAGCTTAAAAGAAAGGGTAGAAGAGGTGACAAAAGTTCATGGCTTATCCCTGTAAAAGAGGAGAAGTGAGCAGAGAGACCACCCAGGAGTGACTGTAGGGTGGAAAGGTAAGATGGTCACAAGTTAAGTAAAGAACAGGTGGGGATATTATTATCAGGAAGGAAACTGATAAGAAGCAGAGAGAAAGTAGAAAAAGCAGGAAAGCAATGATTTGGTCAACTCCACCAAATACCCTAAGATGTCAAAGAGCCTTGGGTGATATTCCAGAGAGGGATTTCAGCTGAATATCTGGAATGGAAGTCAGGTTGCTGAGGGTCAGAGAGCCTCCAGAGATGTTTTTGTCTGGCAAAGCTATGTATTACATTTATTGAAAACCAAAGGAAAATGTTTATCAGAAAATAAGAGAAAATAATTATAGAAGGCTGTCTCTGCCTGGTTTCTCTAAAAAGTAAGTTAGCTTAAGACCAAGCTATTTTTTGTGAAAAGATTTTCAAGACAGTAGAAATATAATTCTGGTTTCCAGAGCTAGTTGTAATGTGGAATATAGACACATCTGTGGGCATGAAACTTCAAAGGAACACATAGACTATGGTTTCCATGTCCACTCTAAAACTCATATAGAAATTTAATTGCTATTGTAACAGTGTTGAGAGGTGGACCTTTAAGAGATAATTAGATCATGAGGGCTCTGACTTCATGAATGAATTAATGCCATTATCACAGGAGTGGGTGCCTGATAAAAGGATAAAATTCAGCCCCCTTTTCACCCTGTCACACGCATGCACTTCCCTGCCATGTGATGCCTTTACCATATTGTGGTATAGCAAGAAGGCCCTCACCAGATGCCACCCCTCAATCTCGGACTTCCCAGCCTCCAGAACCATAAGGCAAATACATTTACTTTCTTTATAAATTACCCAGTCTGTGATATTTTGTTGTAGCAGCAGAAAACAGACTAAGACAACATATGAATTTAAAAGCAAGAGAAGAGTACTTACAGTATGAGAAAATCATTTGGTTCTTCTAATATAATATTTGCCTTGAACTTTTTCCTTGTTAATGCCAAGTTCAAATATTCCAGTTATTTTAAAATCAAAACTGAAACTAGATCTGCTAGTTCCTTTCTCTGTGACATTGTGTTCGAAATCTGAGTATGATTCATATTCTGTCAGTGCAAATTCATATTTGCCTTGGGTCTAAAGGACCAAAACTGAAACTAGATCTGCTAGTTGCTTTCTCTGTGACATTGTGTTTGAAATCTGAGTATGATTCATATTCTGTCAGTGCAAATTCATATTTGCCTTGGGTCTAAAGGAAGACAAAAGAAAATATTTTTTTATTTAATTTCACTCAAATCAGTTCAGTATGAGTCAGCACACGTCTGCTCTAAATTCTTTTTTTTTTTGTCTTTTTTTTTTTTACTGACCGGTAACGGGCTCGCAACCCTCGGTGTCACGCCCGTACCGGGGACCGGCAAAGGGCTCGCAACCCTTGGTGTTGCGCCCACACCACGTTCAGCCAGTGAGCAGGAACCGGTCTCCACATGGGATCCGTACGTCTGCTCTAAATTCTTTTTTTTTTTGTCTTTTTTTTTTTTTACTGACCGGTAACGGGCTCGCAACCCTCGGTGTTGCGCCCACACCACGTTCAGCCAGTGAGCGGGAACCGGTCTCCACATGGGATCTGTACCCTCGGCGGGAGCGCCGCTGGGAGCGCCGCTGCACTCCCAAGTGGCGCACTCTCCAGTGCGCGCCACCGGGCCGGCCCTGCTCTAAATTCTTACTATGTGCCAGATACTGTACTAGATGCTCCGGATACAGAAAAATCAGGGCCAATTGTATCCTCACCCTCAGGGATCCTGATCCCATGGGAGACAGACCTATTCCATAATGTGGGTTGGAACTTGGAGGTTAATGCTTGATTTGGATTTCAACTGGCAGAAGTACAGGGGACATTCTGGACTGAGGAGCCAGATGCCTGAGGTCAAGTCCTAGTTCTGCCACTTACTAGCTGTGTGACCTTGGGCAAACCAGTTAACCTCTCTGTGCCTCAGTTTTCTCGGGAACAATGAAAATATCCACCTCATGCAGATGTTGTGAGGATCGTATGTGTCAATATTTTTTAAGTGCTCAGAACACTGCTCGGTCCATGACAAATGTTTGTTATTTATGTGTGTCACCCTCGCTAGACTATGTGCTCTTTTAGGGTGGTGGTTCTTAATTTCTGTACAACCCCCATCACAAAACATATTCAAAATAATTGCAGTTAACCGAGGGTTTAACTGGTGACAGACACAGGCATGGCTGGCTTCATGTATCATCTCCTTCAGTGTCCCCACATCTAGGTCCTGGGCAGTAGATACCGTAACATACACTTTACAGATGAAGAAGTCTTGCCCCCACTTAGACACAATTATTCACAGCCTCCTAAGTCAGATCTCCATTCTTGACCATCTCTGACGACTGAGCATTGCTTCTTTTTTGAAAAGAGCTCTGTCTCCTATCAGCTTCTGCCCTTTGGCCTTGGTTCTGTTCCTCACCAGAACAGTCTTGGGGTCTCCTTCCCATGACAGATGTCCATGTATCAAAAGGAATACTTATGTATTTTGTTTAACAAATACAGCATGGTGCTTACCTTTAGAGGCACCATCTCAATCAATTTACACATATTGGCTCATTTATCCTTATGAGAATTAATCCTTATGAGAATTAATCCTTATGAGAATTAATCCTTATGAGAATTAATCCTTATGAGAATTAATCCTTATGAGAATTAATCCTTATGAGAATTAATCCTTATGAGAATTAATCCTTATGAGAATTAATCCTTATGAGAATTAATCCTTATGAGAATTAATCCTTATGAGAATTAATCCTTATGAGAATTAATCCTTATGAGAATTAATCCTTATGAGAATTAATCCTTATGAGAATTAATCCTTATGAGAATTAATCCTTATGAGAATTAATCCTTATGAGAATTAATCCTTATGAGAATTAATCCTTATGAGGTAGGTGTTATGTTCATCCCCGTTTAACAGATGAGAAGTGAGACACAGAGAGGTAACTGACTTGCCCGAGATCTGGCTGCCAGCAGCAGTTGGTGGGGCCGGGATTCCACGTGTAGTGTCCGGGTTCAAGAAGAGAATCTGTATTCTTCCCACCACACCAGCTGCCTCTCACTAGTTTATTACAGTTACATTTGCTCATTTAGTCCTCACAGAACTTTGAAAGAAGGGTGTTATTAACTTCCTTCTAGAGATGACAAAACGACAGCCCCACATGATAAGTGCCTCACCCAACGTCCTGTGGTCAGGGAGCTGCTCCTTCTGTCCCTTCCTGCAGGGTCCAGTCGGACCCTACTGCTGGACCCTACTGCTGGCTTTGGATGTCTGCCCTACTGCCCTCTAGCTGGGTGACCCTGGAGCTCACATAAGCTCATAAGCTGGCTTATAAGGGGGTCCTGAGAGGATGCCCCACATGTGAGGAGTCTCACTAATGACAACCATTAAGGACTGAGATTTGATGTTTGTTTAGGAAGAAGGTGAATTCCATTCAGGGTCGTCATGCCCCTCCCCACGCTGTCTGACATAGGACGATTCTTAATGCAAATGAGGAGAGGGTCTCTCTCCTCCACCTGCAGGAGGAGAAGCTGCAGAATGTGGCCAGAAAGTAGGGTGAATGCCAGGCCAGTTTGGCCCCTTCTGACCTTGCTCTTCTGGCCTCGCCTGAGGATTGGACCAACTCAGAGATCGCTAGAAGCTGGAATCACAGATTGACTGCATTCACATCCTGGAACTCCATTCCTTCACTAACTACTTAGGAGCCTCTCCTCTTGGCTAGGCCAAATGCTGGGGCCTAGAGATACAGAAAAAGATAAAACCTACCCACAAGTTGTCAATAGGATTCAAGAAGTCATGCTTAGAAAGCACCTAATGTAGTCACATCACAGGTGTTAACATAAAGGTTCATCCCAGCTCTTGCATGGCAGCTTGTGTGGGGTTTGCACGCAGAGTTCTGTCCCAGTGTTCCTACACCAGCCCTCTTTGTGGGGTCTGTCTGTGGGACACGCTCCTGGAGCAACTTGGAACCATCCTCAGGGAGCAGCCAGAGAATCCACTTACACTCCAGTCTGTTTTCAGAAAAGAAAGAGAGGAACGCCAGTTGATACCAGCTCCTTGTTTATACCCTCCCTCTCTATTCTCTAGAATTCCATTTAATTGCGTGCCTTCCCATCTACGCAGTAACTTACCCACTGGCCAGTCTGCCAATTGCCCAGTATTGGTCCATTTCATGCTGACACTTTTTATGCTGACCCTTCTACAGTTTGCCTCATCCGACTGGTCTCCACAGTCATTGTCCCCATTGCAAAGAAGTCTTCGGTTTACACACCTCCCTGGGATGGAGAAGTGGCATTACCCACAGTCACATGGCTGTCAAGAGAGGAACTAACACAGTATAAGCACCTACTAGGTGCCAGACATTTTGCTGGGCTTTTAATGCTCTGTTTTAATTAGCCATTGTGTATCAGGGCAGGGACAGTTTATTCCCCTATTGCCACCCCCCCTTGCCAAAAAGAAGCAAGTGTTATATTCCTGAGAGCACTTTAAGGGGAGATTATTTAGAACCATTCTGTTAGGGGATGGGTAGGAATAGGGAAAATGCTGCAGAAGCAGGGGCTGAGTGGCCAGACAGGAGGGCAGCCTGGACTTCTCTCTCTGAGGCTGGAAAGAGGAGGTGGGTTTGGGGGTCTTGCAAATAGTACTAGATGTGCTACTTTTCATGTTTTACCTAACCTCCCTGCCTCAATTTACTCATCTGTAAAATAGGAGAGTCATCCTCCCTATCCCATAGGGTTGTTGGGAATTTAAATGAGTAAATAAAACAGTACTGACTTGCAATAAGTGCTATGTTAAGTGTCGTCATTACCATTGTTAGTGTCGCAGAGGGCCAAGTGCACATGGCTAGTAAACATTTGCAGCAGGATTGGAACCTTTAACTATCTAATCACAAACCCTTTCCACTAGACCATACTGCCTTCAACACCATAGCCATTTGGACTGTGAAATATTTGTATCACTTTTGCTTCCTTTAAATGTTTTTCCCACTGACTTGACTTCTTTTCTTATTTGTATATTGTTGGGAAATAAATCCCATAAGACAGGTGACCCTGTTTCCTTAGATATGTCTGGTCACTTTTAACCAGTGTTCTTGGGGTGTTAAAGGCAGAAAAATAGCAATCCTGGTCTTCAAATGTTTCTTACAAGGCATTTAAATTAAAGCCTGGCTGAATAACCATTATGGCTTTGGTCAGAATCATGGAACACTGGCCATAATGAGTCCATGGATACTCTGTAAAAAAGTCTTTCAAATTTATTGGATGGAATTTTGCATTTGCAAAAGCCCTAGAAATTGCGCTAATAATCCCTAACTCTTTCTTGAAAGATCCCAATGTATAGCCCACATGGGTACAGTAAATGTAGAGAGTTGCAACTCCTATCCAGATAATTTGGGTGAAGATACCCTTATTTTTGCCAGAGACTTGGAGAAATAGAGAGGCATATGTTTGCTTGGATTTGCTAAATGAATGAGTTGGAAAAACAAGTGTTTACATAGTTTTGCAGCATATGATTATTCATTTGTGTACTCCATCCTGCTTTCCTTCTGTCTGTCTGTTCTTTTTGTTTTTCCTTCCTTCCTATAATCAATCATTTTTACTGACTATATTATGCATTAGGGGTCATTCTGGACTTGGTGATGCAGAAATGCAAATGACAGGAACTATTTCTCCAAATATTTTTCAAAACTAGATGATGCCAACCACACTATTTAACTGTTTTGGGTTTTGCCACATGGTACTCACTCCAGGCCTCTGAGAGAGCTAGCAGAGCTTGCAGTCTGCAAAGAGAGTTCATATCCTTTATGTCACTTGAGCCTATGACAAACTTGTGAGGTATTAACATCGCCTCCAATTTTCTGTTAAGGGAACCAAAATGCAGATAGGTTGGTGTTCTTAATGTCAATGAACGTAATTTGAATTCCCTAGCTTCTAATTGCTGCTCTTCCATTTACGTGCTACATGACATTGGAAAAGTAATCTCTTCAAGTCTCAATTTCCCAAGTTTTAAAATGGGGTTAGTAATATCAACCACGTTATAGAGGTGTTTTTTTTGTTTAAAGAAATAATATATATAAAAGGAGGTCAGTTATTTGAGAACAAGGAAGCTTCCTGACCTGTCCCATGACCCTAAACTTTAGCACTAGGCATGGCCAGTCATTCCATCATTGTGTGCCATCGCCTCATTTGCAAGCTTCCCCTCTCCTTCCCACATCCATTTATACCTGTCTGTGCACACACAAAGCCTTCACATCACACTTGACTTCTGCATGGTCTATTGGTGACACAGTCTTTGACTTCCTTGTCAGGGAAGTTGCATGGTTCCCCACGGAACTGGGAGGGCTGGAGCAAGCAGGCACGTCTGTACTGGACCAGAGAAGAGCAGGTGAACCAAGGGCAGAGCCTCAGGGACCCTGGGAGCTGAGGGATACTATGTGCAAATGGGTCTCAAACCAGGATTTGGACTCCACAAGATCACTGAGTTGTCTAATTGCTGCTTTCCCAGCCCCTCGGGCTTTCCCATTTGTATGCACTTAAAGGTCTATATTGTTCTTGGCTATTTGCCTGACTGTTTCTCCAACTAGACTGTGAGCTCTCTGAGGGTAGGGACTTTGTTTCTGATTTCTGTCACTACAGTGATCAGTCACGATTTGCTAAATGAGGAAAAGGCATGGGCTTTGGAGTGAAAAGTTAGAAGTGGACTCATGTAGCCAGTTCAATAACAAAAAATAAACTCTTAGTTTAATTATGCCAGAGGGTTGATTCAAGTGTTTTCATTTACTCATTAAGACATTGATATATTATAAATGAAAGAGTATGTGCTTTGGAGCCACAACTGACTTATACTTTCTATTTATGTGATGTTGGGCAAGTTACTCAACCTTGTGAATCTCAGTTTACTCATCTGTAACATGGGGAGGATGAATTACCTAAATATACAGTTATTGAGTTTAAATTTTACATATATGTAAAAATCTCAATATGTCTGGTACATAGTAGGCACCCAATATCTTGTACTTATTTTTCTTCCCTATTAATGATATTTAGCAGTAAATATTGCTACGTCTCTACCTTCTTACTCATTTATTCCAATAATATCCATTGAACCACTCAATGTTAAAAAAGGTAGGTGTTATTTTTGCTTGCTTATTCTTTTTTCATCATAATCATGTCCTCTAGCCTTCCCTCCAGGATGTCACAGATGGTGGTGGTGTTCGTGGGCCCCAGACAGTGACATCTCAGGGCAGTGGGTAACGTGACACAGGAAATACAGGGTGCTCTGTAAGCTCATAGCAGAAGCCCCCATGCAAACTTAGGAGACAGTGGAAGGTGCTCGAAAAAGTGACATCTAGGCTGAAACTTGAAGGCCTAGTAGGACTGTTGGGCAGACATGCACAGCTGGTGTGAGAAAGGCAAAAAAGAGCCATCTGGGTGGAAGAACTTGCTGGGCCAAAGCTGGGAGAACAAGAGGATGTGCCTTGTTCCAGAAAACATAAAGAGATTCATCATGACTGGAGAGCAGAGTGCAAGAGGGAAAATGGCAAGAGCTGGAGGGAGACACAGACAGGAGCGGATAACACAGGGCCCTCTAGGCCTTGGTGACGTGGATTTAATATTTTATCCTGGGTCAATGAGAAACCACCTCAGAGGAAGTGCAAGAGGGAAAATGGCAAGAGCTGGAGGGAGACACAGACAGGAGCGGATAACACAGGGCCCTCCAGGCCTTGGTGACGTGGATTTAATATTTTATCCTGGGTCAATGAGAAACCACCTCAGAGGAAGAAAGCAATCAGATTGGGGTGGTTTCCAAATGTTTGCTGCAGCCAAGATTTTGGTGCACAAAATGGGGGCAAATCAGGAAAGCAGCCCCTTTGCAGAATGAGACATTAACAAGGCATAGTTATTACTTGTATGGAATCCAAAAAAGAAACATAGATATCCATTTAGCTATGCTCCTTTGTACTTCCAGAGGGTCATTCTTCCTGGAAGGCAGAGCCTGTCAGGAAAGGATAAGACCTGTAAAGAAGGCTGCAAGAAGACTAGCCCCAGGCTTGAAGGGCAAAGTGGGTTTGAGAAGTGTAGAAATGCTGGAGGGAATACACCTCCCAGCCAGTGACTGTGCAGACAAGAAATGTCTGCTGCCAACTCTGAGCAAGGAGCTCTGGCTGGCTCCTGCTGAGGCTCCCTGGTTTATCGTGCAGATGAAGCAGTTATCCAGATAATTGGATCAATGCTGATAACTTCAGCAATAAAACCTACTTTGGGAACTGAATGATCCTGCTTCATTCTCTCCATTGATCCAATTAACTGTGTAATTGTCCTGGGCCTACTTCCACAGTCTCTTTAGAGTCCTAGCCCATGGCTGGTTTGGTTTCCCAAGGAGCTGGGGAAATGGCAACTGTTTTCTTCTCTCTGACACATCTGCTGTTCTCAGAGCTGGGAGCCTGGGTCAGCCCTCCTATGACAAGGGAGGCTGAAGGACAAATACTGGAGAGACCGTGTGTTGTCACTGGTAGAACACTAGACGAGGATCCAGTGGTCTGAGTTCAAGGCCTGTATTTGCTACTAGGTGTACTGAAGTCACTTACCACTCTGAATCTCTGCTTACCTGTCTAACGAAAAGTGTATGGGGCCGGCCCGGTGGCGCACTGGATAGTGCGCCGCTTGGGAAGTGTGGCGGCGCTCCCG